AAATGGGTTATTTATACAGATTTAGTATCAATATAACTAAACGTATGATTTTATATGAATGTAGTTACTGATGCAATTTTTATGTGGACATTTATATTGATTTAACTTGTGCACAGGTGCACGCTAAACCAATGCAAGACAACACATTTAAAAAAATTGATTTAACCTAATGGGAGCAATTTGTGCATACACAAGTGGTAAGTGTTTACAATGTAAACATTATAAGGTGCATTAATACAAGAGAACCACTAAGTGAAACTTATCAACATTTCACTACTCTATTTTCAATCCCTGCTTAAAGAAATTAATTTACTTTTCACTTTGTTGTGCAGTTTAGAGTTTTAAAATGATTTCAGTTTTAACAAACCAAGCTAGTAGTATTACAAGAAATGTGCTTTTAAATTGGCTATGTCTAGACTGCAGGCTTCTTTCGAAAGATGCTCTTTCGAAAGCATCTTTCGAAAGATCGCGTCTAGACTGCAGGCGGATCTTTCGAAAGAAAAATCCGCTTTTTCGAAAGAGAGCACCCAGCGAGTCTGGATGCTCTCTTTCGAAGACGGCCTCTTTACATTGAAGAACGCCTTCCTTCGAAAGAGGAACTTTCGAAGGAAGGCGTTCTTCCTCGTGAAACGAGGTTTACCGCCATCGAAAGAAAAGCCGCGTTCTTTCGAAATAATTTCGAAAGAACGCGGCTTGAGTCTGGACGCAGGGGAAGTTTTTTCGGGAAAAGGCTACTGAGTCTGGACACGGCCATTGTGTATATTCAATGCAGTTTTCTTTTTAATATCACTTTTTAAAAACAAAAGCACACATATTAGTTGCAACCTATACAATAACCTGACTTTTTCCTCTATAATCACAGGCATGTGACTGTGAGTCCATTCTTGTGAGGAAGCAGTACACACAAATTTAAAAGAATGCCATCCTCTTAAGACTGAGACATAAAACATTCTTGTAAGTTTTCAATATGCTGCCTGCTTATTGAGGAAGAAGCAGAAAAGCAGACAGAGAAAAAGGTTATCAGCTTAGCCTTATACAGTAATTCCTCGCTTAACACGTGCCCGCTTAACACGATAGCGGGATTTATTTTTTAGGGGACATTTTTCGAACAACACGACCCGTCCCCGCAATAACACGATTTCCCCTACCGGCTGGCCAGTTGCCAACAGCTGCACGGGGCTTCCCCTGCCTCCTTACAAAGTAGCGGAGGTTCGCCACTCCCCACGCCATTCCCCGGCAACCCCTCCTTGCTGGACGCAAGGCATCCGGCCAGAGGGGGTCGCCGGGGAACAGCGCGGTGAATGGCGAACCTCTGCCGCTTTGTAAGGAGGCAGAGGAAGCCCCACGCAGCTACCCGCAACTGGCCAGCTGGAGAACCCCAGCCACTGGCTGCAAGCCCCCTCCCCTGTCCTTCCCTTCCCCAGAGCCAAACACCTCCCCTCCCTGCTATAACCCAGTTCCCTTTCTCCCCCAACCTTATGTCTTGGTCCCAGCTGCTAACAAGTGCAGGCTGGAGCTGCGAGCGCACGTGCGCTTGAAACGCAACCCCCACCTTTTCCATTATTTTCAATGGGAAAATTGACCCCGCATAACACGTTTTCACTTAGCATGATCATTTTCTTAAACGTATCTACTGTGTTAAATGAGCAGGGCTCAACAAATTAGTCAATCTACTCGCCCAGGGTGAGTAGATTTTAAGCCGGCACGGCGCCGCAGCGTGATCAGCGCAGGCGTAGCACGGTCTGCGCATGCGCAGAGTGCCAAACTGCACGGCTGGCAAGCAGGGCTCGCTGCCGCTTGTCAAGCCCTGTAAATGAGGAATTACTGTACAGGCAGTCCCCGGGTTACGTACAAGATAGGGACTATAGGTTTGTTCTTAAGTTGAATTTGTATGTAAGTCGGAACTGGCTCCAGATTCAGTCGCTGCTGAAACTGATCAGCGGCTGACTTGCGCAGAGTGCCAAACTGCACGGCTGGCAAGCAGGGCTCGCTGCCGCTTGTCAAGCCCTGTAAATGAGGAATTACTGTACAGGCAGTCCCCGGGTTACGTACAAGATAGGGACTATAGGTTTGTTCTTAAGTTGAATTTGTATGTAAGTCGGAACTGGCTCCAGATTCAGTCGCTGCTGAAACTGATCAGCGGCTGACTAAAGGAAGC